GGTGTCATCCTCTCCCCGAAGACGGGGAGAGGACACCAAGTGATTGTGCGCCTCTTCGAGAAGCTCCAGGTGGTAAGTGCACTGAAAAGAATTAAAAATGTCCTTCTCGGTTATAGTGACTCCGTCTACCCTACCATTTTCATAATGTCACAACACGAGACAACGCTCCGTCTACCCTACCCTTTTTGTGAGTCAGCTTTTTGCGAGCACTTATAAAATGGTAATAATCTTCCTTTCTGCTTCTTCCTGTTTTGCCCCAGCAGGACGCATCTTATCTCAAGCAGATATTTTTACAAATAAAACATAATGGTGGCTGACGTAGACTTGATATTCTGGGCTTGAGGAGAAAGCGAAATTCGTTAGTGGGGCCATAGCGTGGCTTACTTAGTACTCTGCCCTTTGCTGGCCGTGGCATCAGCGGACGTCTATCTGGAGAACACCGGAGTAAACGGCAGTCAGTCCGTGCTCCGTGCGTTTTTGAACGGCACCAAGGAAGGTACACACGACAAACGTGCGTTTACATTTCCTTGTTTTAACCGACGTTCTAATTGTTGTTATGAGTATCCTTCTTTTTCTTTTATTACTTATATTTATATACTGGAAACTTTTTTTTATTCACCAACGTCTTAAGTGAGGCTCGAACTGTTCAGAACCAAAGGAAGAAGAATATTGAACCAGACCTTATTTATTATTTAATTATCCCCTTACTGTTACAACTGTGTTTTGCTGTTGATGACTTCTACAGCTTCGCGATTTAGACAATGGAGAATTTTAGTAGATCGGTCCGATAATGATATCCGATACTTCGCCACCGTCTTTGCGTATGCATCATACCGTTACTGGGTACCGTTATCGCGGGTATCGGAGGTATCGGAAGGATCTACTAAATCTCTCGAATAGCAGGCAACGGCTGCAACGACGAAGCTCTGCTCTACATTCGAGGTAAATAGCACTTCCCTTGCTTCGCTGAAAAAGCCCAATGCAGAGCATGAAGCATTCGTGAGGAACAATATGCCACTCCCATTTAGTGCCTCAGTTCAAATGGTGTTCAGCGTAGCAGTCGACGTACTGAGTAAGAAATAACGCAAATTGTTCTGAAGAGACTTTCGAGAGCCAGCTGTTGCTCAAAATACTCAAGGTCATTAAAAGGAACAGGTGGCAAGAATAAGAACTTGAATAACCCTCTTCTCTTTGTCTCTTACTTGAGGACAATAATGTTAAAAGTAACGCCACGAATGTAACGGATTACTTTTTGGGGTAACGGTCAGTTACTTTTATGGGAGGGTAATTGTAATTGTAATAAATTACAATTTAGCCTCGAGTAATTGTAAATGTAATTCCTTACTATTTTTCAGTAACGTGTACAAGTCTGGTTCCAAGGAACTCCACTCCACAGAGAAGCCCTCTTCCCGGCGCTCCAGCCCGCACGAGGAAGGAGCGCGCTCGGTCGTCGCTCTCGTGTCAGTCGTCGCCGGTAGGAGGAGGAGGAGGAGGGAGGAGGCGGTTGCTTCTACTCCTCTCGACGCCGAGGAACATGGCGACGCCTGAGACATCTATATCGTCGGCGGCCGCAACCTCGGCAGTAGCGAAACGTGGCCATCCACGCCAGTACACCGCAGACGAACTAAGGGAGCGGAAGAGCGACATTCATGCTTTCGCATTTACAACTCATAAGAAGTGCTCAGGTGTCATCGGAGTTTTTTCACCTCCTTGGCTGCGACTAAGCTGTGCGTGGCCGCTGACGACTGAAAGGTGACTATCCATACGGGATCCATCTGGAATGCTCCTATGCGGAGAACAGGTCGTCTGCTTCTTGCAAAGGAGTTGCGGTGAAGTCAGAACGACGCCGAGCTCTTATTGGACGAGTCTGAAAAAAATAGTGGGTAGATCTCAATGCTAGATGCTTTGATGTCTACCCGCTATTTTTTTTTTTCAAACAGCCGATAAGGGCTCGGTGTCCTTCTGACGTAACCGCAACTCCTGCACAACAAGCAGACGACTTGCTCTCCGTATTGAAGCCACTTCCCTGAAGACGTTCAGGCGTTCCAGCTCACGTTTGAAGTCTTCAATCCGGTACGGGCGGTTCTATACACCACAGTGGAGAAGAAGTATATATGCAAGTGTGCCACAAGGTAGTGGTGGCAGCACAATTTGGTGCTCATCAGTAGATGCAGAATAAGAAAATCCGTGCAAGTCGTTCGAAACAGCTCCGCAGGAGCTATGTTTCGAACGACTTGCGCGTTCGGCATGTGCGATTGGACTCTCGGCCACCATAACCCCTTGTTGTTGTTGTTGTTGTTTTTTTTTTTTTTTTTTTTTTTTTTTTTTTTATGAAGACGGTCGAGTGTACATTTCATGGCCCTTTTCATTTCTTGACTTTTTTTCTTCTACTCTCGGACGCTGATGAGGGAATCGCAGAAGCGAAGCCCTCATCAAAAGTTTCGCTTACGAGCCCGTAAAAGTCACCATAAAAATAATCTCAAAGCGCTTCTATGTCCATGTCAGCATTGTGAATGTTCTTTTTTTTATCCTTGTAGCCTTTTTTCAACGTTACTTATGTAAAGCAATAGCTTGTTCCAAAAAACAAAACAAAATCAAGAACTTGTAATTTAGCACCCGGCTGTTTAACAGTCATGCGTCACTTCTTGTCTCTGTGGTTTCATTTTGAAGGTTTTAAATTCCCCGTTGAACTTGAAGTACCTCCTCAGAGACAAAAAGAAATCCAAACTTCCTCAGCCCTTTATTGAGACGGCACACGGGGGTCGCGGTAGCAATCTGTTATTGCTTTTTGTAGCACCTCCAGCAATGGTGTTTTTGGCCTTCCATGACTCTGCATTTCTCCCACATTAATGCATTACATTGTGTACAAACATCTCAAAACAACGCAGCCATAGCAGTCCCTCTACTACGTAGTGGCGCCATCATATAACAAATGCGGCGGCGGCCACAAAACTGAGAGAAAATTCAGTTTATGAAAGTAGAAATAAGTAGAGCAATCATACATAGGAAACCAGAGACAAAGGAATAAAAGTAATAGAAAAAGGAACGGGTTTACGATGGACGCCATTTACCAGCTCGCCTGAGTTTTTTTTCCTTGTCTTTAGACCGCACACCGTACCGATGCTCATCCAGATCGAAACGGGCAGGGATGGGGATTGAATTATTCCAGACAGATAAGATAGCACCGGTTCATTCCGCCGTGACATAGGAAGATCAGTGTTGAAAGATGTGTTCATAACGGACAAGAGCTAGTGAACTTTCGAGGTTATTCATGAAGATATGAAACTGATTGAGGGGTTCATGTGATTTGCCTAAAATCAGAAAGGTAAAAAAAAAAAGAAGAAGCCTACACTTAACCTTTAGTAGAAAGGTATTTTCTGCCTATTGAAGGCCCTCTTATTAATCCGAAAAACGGAAAGTATAAAATTTACGAAACATTTACTTCGGCCGCCAAAACGCAAAGATAAAAATTCAATTTGCATCTTACAGTAAGCACTCGTTTGTTGGCTAAGAAAATATCCTGTAATTGTTTAAACTAATATACATCATGTTTTTTTTTTTATATCGACTAGCCACCCAACCAGGTCTACAGATAATGAAACATCTCAAATAATGTTTCTTTAAATAAGTATATATCGGTATAAGTATTTTAGCCGTCTTTGCAATGAACCCAAGTATTATTTTACTTCCAAATACATATTAGGGTATATCCGTTCAGCACTCCAAGATCTTAGGGTGCTTATGAGCCACGCTTGTAGCGCATGCATGCGTTTGTCTACGCGCGCTAACATGGCATACAAAAAATACAATCAATAAAACTTCCGCCTTCAGTGTCTTATCAGGCATTTCGCTAGGAGCCTGCTGAAGTTTAGTTACACGCGAAACACGTGCTGGCGTGTACTACAGTCTTCTAACTGTTTGAAAGCAGAAATTTATTTTGCTTTCAAACAGTTTTATCTTATTTTGATTATTTACTTCTAATTACTTACACAGAAGAGATGAGCGCGTGTAGTGCATGCACCTAATGTTTTTTTTTTGAGAAAATCGTGTTTTTTGGTCCGTGTAAATAAATCACGCGTCGCGGGAACCTGAACTAGGCATCGCGGGAAGAGAATGTGACGCCAGCAGTTGGAATAACGCGCGGAAAATTGAGAGCAAGATGTCAACTGGATCAAAATATAAAAAAAAAATAAAGAAATTTATCTTTGAACGACGTCCCACCTGAACCTAATATTGCAAAAACAAGAACGTACGTTGTGGACATTTTTAGGATTTATTACAGTTTAAGAAACTTGTCAGCGAGAAATAAAACAATAGCCTTTTTCTTGCTGTCAAGTGTATTTCACTTATATAGATGTCGCATGCGTACACGACGTTAGTTCTTGTTTTGACGATATTGGACTTATGTCGCGTGGGCTGATCCACTGCACTATAACCGCCATTTTGGAAAACGAGTGGTGCCACCTATAGACAGTTGGGAGTCGCAAATAGTTTCCTATTCACTCTTGGTGAAAATATGTCACCAGAAGACAAGTGCTTGAGGTGAAGGATGACCTCGTAATATACTGCATCATGAGAAGTCGGCTACTGAATAATGCATATGCCTGCCACACCACGTAATGCTGTACTTGCACGTCGCAGGAAGTGGCCATATTAGTGCACACTCGTTTATGTTCATTCTAGATTAACTAAAGAAGGAAGCACGTAAAAAATTTGACCATCTTTATTGTCTACAAGCAAGAGTGTGAAGCAAGCTGTATTCGGTTGCAGAAATATTAGAAATTAAAATTGCACCCTCTCTTCCGATGCTGCATCCAGAATGAGCTTCATTGAACGAACAGCCCGAGCTCCAGAAATGTACAATGCGCGACCCACAGCCGCGAGAGTTTGGTGCGGAGGAAGAGTGTATATTGTACAAAGCGGTTGCGGCCGACCCCCCCCCCCCCCCCCCCCCCCCCACACACACACACACACTTCGAATAAATACAACATACTTCATTTCATTTCATCTCATTTATTTACCTCAAGTGCGTCTTTGAGGATGCATTACATAACGTAGGCGGTGCGTGCATTCGTAATAACATAATCACATAATTTTCCAATCAGAGTCTTTAATAACAAAATAATCGCAATCAGTCCAACTCAGTTTACAAAATAAAAGTGACATCCTACGTCCACAATGGGAACTTTCAACTGGAGGTAACTATGTATAAAACAATAAGTTCAATATGGGGAAACAGGAAGTAACTATGAAAACAAGACATAAGCACCGTACGTGTACTATTCATACCATAGGCGCTCGCACATTGTTTTAAATTCAACGGGATTTGTCTTAGTAACCATCTCGCCTGGCAAGTTATTCCATTCTGTAATCGATAATATTAAGGGTGAAAACAGAAAGGAATTTGCGTGTGACTGGTATAGCTGTACCTTAGAGGAATTTTCGGTAATGACCATAGGTGTTCTTAAAGCACGAGTTAGTGTAGTATAAGTCATGAAAGAAACATATTCGGTTAATTTTGCTCCGGGCCGACAATGAAGTGAGACCCAAATTTGTTTTTAAAGCTGAGACACTAGTTTCAGGCGAAACGTCTTTTGTATGAACCGGGCTGCTTTACTTTGGACAGATTCTAGTTAAGAAAAAATATAAATTTGATGTGGATGCCATATGATACTTGCATATTCTAGTTTTGGGAGAATAACTGTTTTTTTATGCTAGCAGTTTTATTGAAGTTGGGGATCGGTGGCCGAGTGGGCTAGCGCACACCAGCTCGGAGCACGTGGAGCGAAAGCTCGCGCTGCAGAACCCGGGGATTCTGGGTTCAATCCCCACCCCTTCCCGTTTCGATCTGGATGAGCATCGTACCGGCGCGCGGTCGTGTATCCCCACTGCGTGGTGCACGTTAAAGAGCCCAGGCTAGCGGTTGTACCGCACTGGTTAAATTGCTCATCTAAAGCTGAGACACCAGACACCCACTGAGGCAGACTAACTTCTGGCTGTATAAACACACACACAACAATTTGGGCGTTGAATATTGTAGACAAAGGTGGAATGTGTGCGCGACGAAGGACTGAAGACAAAGAGGGCCGAGAAAGAAAAGCGCGAGGACAGAAGGGATTGAGCCGATCGAGGTAGCGGTAAGCGTTGTACATATCTGCTAAGTAAACGCGATTTTTCATTTTACACCGTGGGCATCGTTCCTCTATCTATGTAATAGTAGGGGCCACGTGTAGGGTGCGTCTTAGGAAACCTACAGATTTTAACGAGTTGGTAACTAAATTGTCGATATGTTGGTTCCATGATAGTGTTTCACAATGCCTTCGAACCAATCTCACTATTGGTTCGAAGTCATTGTGGTCTAGCCGGCCTTTCGGTCAAGCACGGCGGGGTCCTCAAAGAAGCTTTTTCGTTAAGATCTCGTAGACCATACGCCGCCGAAAGTATGGCATGTGCATCTGGTCGAAAGTGATCTTGGCGTCGCGAGTAATGTACTCGGCGTACTTGAGGGCAAACATGCCAGAGTCGCTGTTGTTCTTCTGCAGCGGGATGTCCTTGACGGCCTCGAACGTCCAGTCGGAAAAGACCAAGTCAGTGGCCCGCTTGTCACGGCTTTCGTCCTGCAGGTATTGGCGCAGCACCTTGTGGCACTTTGGGTTGGAGCCGCCCATCGAGTCCAGATAGCGGATGCTCTTGGTGCGGAAGTCCACCACTGCCAGGCACCAGTGATTGCCCCGGTGAACGGGCACCAGCAGCAGGTCATGCGCGAACACGTCCACGTGCCGGGTGCATCGCCGCCGGGCTGCGTGGCCGCTCGTCCGTAGCTTGGGGTAGAAGAAGGTGTTGAAGGCATACACCGAGGGCAGGCCGGGCTCCGTGCGGCCGCGCTCCATCAACAGATTCATGTAGAAATTGATCACTTTGTCGTTGAGCCAGTTGAGGCCCGTCAATGTCTCCATGTCCTTGCGGGTCACCAGGAGCTTGAAGCCCTGGGCCAAAACCTCATCCGGGGGAGTGGGCCGCAGCGCATTCTCGATGGCCGCCTCCATCTCCGCCGTTAGCTCGGGGAGGACGTCTTCCTTGGCGGTTTCCGCCACTTCCTGGACAAACTCGGCTGGTCGGACAAGGCACTCTTTGCTGAGCAGACCCTTGCAGGCCCGCTCTTGCCACTTGATGCGCGCCGCCTGGCTCTCCTCCGAGAACGTCAGCTTGGTCTTCAGCTCCTGGACCCACGAGAGCGACAGAAGCGGGCTCGAAGGCCTCGAAGGCCTCGGTGACCTCGGTGGCCTCGGTGGCAGTGACTGCATCGGTGGCAGCGACTGCATCGGTGGCAGCGACTGCATCGGTGGCAGCGACTGCATCCGTGGCAGCGGCTGCGTCGGCTCTGCTCTTGCCGGTTGCACCGGAAAGAGAGGACCCTCGCAGGCCCGCTCTTGCCGCTTGATGCGCGCCGCCCGGCTCTCCTCCGAGAACGTCAGCTTGGTCTTCAGCTCCTGAACCCACGAGACCGGCAGAAACGGGCTCGAAGGCCTCGGTGGCCTCGGTGGCATCGGTGACCTCGATGGCCTCGGTGGCATCGATGGCCTCGGTCGCATCGGTGGCAGTGACTGCATTGGTGGCAGCGACTGCATTGGTGGCAGCGACGGCGTCGGGTCTGCTCTTGCCGGTTGCACCGGCAAGAGAGGACCCTCGCAGGCCCGCACTTCCCGCTTGATGCGCGCCGCCTGGCTCTCCTCCGAGGACGTCAGCTTGGTCTTCAGCTCCTGGACCCACGAGAGCGGCGGAAACGGGCTTGAAGGCCTCGAAGGCCTCGGTGACCTCGGTGGCCTCGGTGGCATCGGTGGCAGCGACTGCAGCGGTTGCACCGGCTCCACCGGCTGCACCGACTCCACCGGCTGCGTCGGCTGCAGCGGCTGCGTCGGCTGCACCGGCTCCACCGGCTGCACCGGCTGCAGCGGCTGCGTCGGCTGCAGCGGCTGCAGCGGTTGCGCCGGCTGCACCGGCTCCACCGGCTGCACCGGCTGCAGCGGTTGCGCCGGCTGCACCGGCTCCACCGGCTGCACCGGCTGCAGCGGCTTCGTCGGCTGCAGCGGTTGCGCCGGCTGCACCGGATCAACCGGCTGCAGCGGCTGCAGCGGTTGCGCCGGCTGCAGCGGCTCGACCGGCTGCAGCGACTCGACCGGCTGCAGCGGCTCGACCGGCTGCACCGGCTGCAGCGAATCCCCTTCACTAATCTCAGTAACAGCTATGCTTTCGATGCAGTCCACCTCCTCCTCCTGTGCTATGGAGATGACGTGTCCGTGACGCTCGGACGACGATTCCCCACACAAAACAAGACTCGGCGTTGTTCCCGACACCAGAGCCGTCCCGACGCCGAGGCAGCTCTGGCCACCGTACTGTCGACCCCAGGCTCCGTTGCCTGGTCGCCGCAACGCTGCGGTCGACTCGAAGTCGTGGTTCTTCAGGTGTGGACGCACGAACCGGTCCAGCGGCTGCAGCCGCCGCAGCCGCTGCAGCCACCGCAACCGCTGCAGCCGCTGCCACCGATGCCACCGCTCCAACGGCTGCAAAGGCTCCAGTCGCTCGGGAGGCTTCTGGCGCAGTCGAGGCGTCCGAGGCGGCTCGCGTCCCAGGGTGGACGCCACCTCGAGCAGGTTTCGGGAGATTTGTGGAGGACGTGTAGATTCGTCTTTTATGTCCAGTCGCTCAAACCGTCGAGTCGGGACCTCCAGTTGGACGGTGTTCACTGACGCGTCGCGTACCTGCGGTTTGGGCAGCGGTTGGAGGTACCCGGTCGTGTATTGCTGCAGCAGTTGCTGGTACTGCTGCTTCTCGTCCATCCGGATGCAGTGGTACGAAGTCAGCTCCGGGGATCGACCCCCGTTCCGCTCGTGAAGGGGCTTCGGCGCTCCCGCCTCGGCGTCGGGACGGCTCTGGCCACCGTAGTGTCGACCCCAGGCTCCGTCGCTTGGCCGACGCAACGCACCGATACACCCGAGGTTGTGGTTTTTCAGGTGTGGACGCACGAAGCGGTCCGGCAAAAGGGACGCACTCGATGACCGCTCAGCCGCATGCTTTAACCGAAAATCCCCGTACGGAGGACACGTCGTCTGCTCCTTTGGCCTGGCAGGTTCGGCAGCGATGGGCGGCGTGCTCGGGTGTAACCACTCCATCGCCTGGCGCACGAAGTAATTGTCCATCGGCTTGCGCAGGACGCTGTACAGCCAGTTGAGCGGTACCGCTCGCCTCTCCATGCCGGTGCGTCCACCCAGTTCTAGGCGTGGACACTTGCGACTCTTCGAGGATTCATCGTCGTCGTCGTCCATGGCCTGTTCCCGCCTCCGCTTCTGGGACCTCCGCCGCTGCTCCTCTGGGGCTCTGTCGGCTCCTGGCGGAGAGAAGAGACAACGTAACGCTGCCCCAATCCCTGCCAACATTTGTTCTCGAGGTGTTTGACACGCACCATTCCGATCCCCGTTCCGTTCGTGAAGGGGCTTCTCCGCTCCCGCCTCGGCGTCGGGATGCCTCTGGCCACCGTAGTGTCGACCACAGGCTCCGTCGCCTGGTCGCCGCAGCGCGGCGATAGACTCGAGATCGTGGTTCTTCAAGTGTGGACGGACGAACCGGTCCGGCAAAAGGGACGCGCTCGATGACCGCTCAGCCGCATGCTCTAACTGAAAATCCCCGTACGGAGGACACGTCGTCTGCTCCTTTGGCCTGGCAGGTTCGGCAGCGATGGGCGGCGCGCTCAGGTGTAACCACTCCATCGCCTGGCGCACGAAGTAGTTGCCCATCGGCTTGCGCAGGACGCTGTACAGCCAGTTGAGCAGTACCGCTCGCCTCTCCATGCCGGCGCGTCCACCCAGTTCTCGGCGTGGACACTTGCGACTCTTCGAGGATTCATCGTCGTCGTCGTCCATGGCCTGTTCCCGCCTCCGCTTCTGGGACCTCCGCCGCTGCTCCTCTGGGGCTCCGTCGGCTCCTGGCGGAAAGAAGAGATAACGTAACGCTTCCCCGATCCCTGCCAACATTTGTTCTCGGTGTTTGAGACGCAGCGTCTCAAATTCGAATTGCTCGCGCTTTGTTTGGAAAGTTTGTCCAGTTTGGCGCGTTAGAATAGAGCAAGGCTGAAGCTAGAGCACTACATAGCTCCCAAGGACCCCAAGGACATTAGAGCTCTCTGCCGGCAGGCCTCAAGTGTGTTTCCATAGACCTCTGCCCTATCCCCCTCCCCCTTTTCTGTCTGTTTGTATTTATCCGATTTTCACACAATTACGTCGCTGCCATCTGTACATATTCATGACTGTTCAACCTTGCAATGTACGGCGTCGCAGACCTCTACGGTATGGGCCATCGGCCTTTCTGCGGCGTTGCGGCTGTCCTGAGCCGGAATAAATATTATTATTAATATGGAGCAGAGTCTGGAGAGTAACGCAGTCCTTTGATCTGCGTGTTTTGCCGACAACATGGCCGACAGAGCTGCTTGGTGCGAGTCACGCGGTACTCAGGGTTCCAGGTGGCGGCGCGCCCTATGGGAGAACATATTGAGATCGACGCAATACAACTGATCAAAAAATACACGCCGAGTTCAACTAGTCTGTCGTCAAGTTTGTAAAGCATTAACACTTTATCAACGTTTTCATGATATTGGATGCGTGTGAAAATTTAGACCATATGCGAAACCGCTTGATGGTCTGTCAGCACTGTGCACGCGGCCACCTTGGTAGCGTCAAGTATCTTGAGTTTCGATTTCTCAGCATTTCCAAGGCATGGACGCTCTACTGCTAAGTTGCGATTCGGAAACTTTATTGTTTTCTGACTTCCGATGACCCAACAAGGACAAAGGACTGGGCCGTCATGCCTTTCATCTCTGAGCACAGTTTTAACTCTTTTTTCTATACGAGTACGCATGACGTCGTAAATTTTAGTGGTAGACTGCTCTATGCCAATACATAAGACTCAAGGTTAGTTTTTTTTTTTTTTTTTTTGCGAAATTAATGAGCATTTGTGGTAGGGAAGGTGAGGAATTATGTTTAGAATTCATTAGCGAAAAATCAGCAGTCATGATTTTTAACGATGATGAGTATCTAGGAGTATGGATATGTGATGGTGCAGAATATCTCAGTGAGCATGAAAAGTATATAATAGGTAAGGCCAACAGAAATGCAGCTGTAATGAAAAATAGAGCACTTTGGAATTACAACAGGTATGAGGTGGTGAGAGAGATTTGGAAAGGGGTCATGGTGCCAGGCTTGACTTTTGAAAATGCAGTGCTATGCATGAAACCCGAAGTGCATGCAAGACTAGAAATAAAACAGCGCGGAGTAGGTAGGCTGGCTTTAGGGGCACATTGCAAAGCGCCAAACCAGGGAGTACAAGGAGACGTGGGATGGGCGTCATTTGAGAGCAGGCAAGTTGTGAGCAAGCTAGAATTTGAGGATCGGTTGAGGCGAATGGATGGGGAGCAATGGGTACGAAAGGTTTTCAGCTATTTATAAATGAAGAGTATAGACACAAAGTGGAGACAGCGCACTAGGAAATTAAGAGGAAAGTTTTTTAGGGTATAGTGGAGTTACGGAAGAGCATGCAGGTCTCAGTTACGAAGAAAGTTAAGGCCTAAGAAAGAGATCGGTGGAGAGGGAATGCAGACAAAGACGGCTTTGGAAAGCTATAGATTGAACAAAACAGTTATTGCCAAAGAAAGAATTTATGACAATTTTAGGGGAAGCTCATTGTTGTTTGAGGCGAGGACGGGTTTTCTGCGAACCAGAACATACAGAGCGAAGTACCAGGAAATGGATACAGTGTGCACTGCTTGTGGAGAGGAGGACGAGACGGCTGAGCGCTTGATACTCTACTGTAAAGGGCTTCACCCTATGCCTACCGAAGACAACATAGATTTAATAAAGTCATTGGGTTTTAGAGGCAGCGAAGGAAAAGTGGATTTCAAGACTGTAGAGATTACCAAGCAAAGATTAAGTGAATGTTGGCCGAAAGCGAGAGAAAACTAGGTATTTTTCTATTAACTGATGGCAAGGGGGTTTTATTGCCTCACTTTCTTTTCAGTGCGGAGTGAATATAGTTTTCACAATTAATATATTCTAAGCTTAAATGGTAAAACAAAATGGCTGGGTGGCGTTAGCTACCGCCCGATCCAAAGGGCTCAGCCGGATTCATCCATCCATCCATCCATCCATGGTGGCGTTTGATGCAGACGATTTTTCTACGCAGCGGAGGTGTTCTTTTTGGGTTGGCCGGAGCGGGTCACTTGAACGTTGTGATGTCACCGCGTCGTCTGCTGCATGATGCCGCCGAGGCAATTTTTTAAAGAAAAATTACGTCCTTACGTGCCACACAACTTGGCGCAAATTATTGTAAAATGTTCCTTTATTATGTCAAAAACTATTTTCGTTTCGTACATCCCCAAAATATTGAAGAAACAACGATTTTCTCACGTTCCCCATGGATTTGTGACCGGAGTTGGAACCTCCGGGCGTTCGCCGCTAGTTGACGAGAGGCGTTCTAGGTTGCGCTACCCTGCTCCGAATGAGCTATATAGTGCTCTAGCTGAGGCTACATTCCAACGAGGTAGAGGGCCTTAGAGCGATAAACTGGCAGCTGAAAGTGACTCCTAATTGGCCGCCGCCATGTTGCACGTTTTTGACCACTAGACACGTGACCTTAAACACGTGACACTAGACACGTTTTATGTCTAGATTTTAACGAAGTACCGCACACAAATAATTGCTTATTGATCTTTAATGACAGTACCGACGAGATGAGTTATGTTTCGTTTGTTTCATGTCCAAAAATGTGCTTTCACGACAAAAACTCGGGCAGCTTCGCAATGCCTCCGCTAGATGCCGTCAGCCGCGGTGCTGTATTTTGGGTTTTTATCCGAGCTAGACACTGATCTTTGGGGATAACAGTAATGAAAAAATTGTTTATCATGTTTTCTACAGCGATCGCAATACAAATCTCGGCTCAGTTTTGCGTGAAAGCCTCAGGATTTGGTACGGTCACGTGTAGACAAAATTGTACAACATGGCGGCAGCCAAGTAGGGGTCACTTTTGCCTAGTGAACGGAATACCATTTCATCGCTCGTTGCTACATTCACGCCAACGAGGTAGAGGGGCTTAAGCGCGAAACACGTTTACGACGAAACCGTCCGATCCGACGTGCGGACTGCCGGAATGACCTTGGGGGGGCGAGGGCTTTTGTAGCACCGGAGAGCGTTGAAAACCCTCGCCTCCGACCGTCGTATTGCCTGGTCGGACGTCGGATCGGACGGTTTCGTCGTACATGTGTTTCGCGCTTTAGAGTCATAAACCGGAAGTTCGGAAATGCCCCCCCCCCCCCTCCCCGGTTTCCGCCATGTTGTACGCAAAAGTGACCACTCGTCACGTGACCTCACAAGAGCCGTGACGTCACCGGTAAGATGGCAGCGCCCAGAGCTGGCGGATGCGAGTTTGTTCGGTGCGCGGTAGCCGTGATGTGCAGCTGCCTTCCGATGACTTCGGACTTCTTCGTGCTCGCTGACGCAGGTATAATGTGGAAATATGATGAGATTTTATACCCTTTTTGAGCAAGATCGCTCTGGATCATCTGGATATAAACACATGTGAGACAGCATCAGCCATATCGCCGTACCGGTGCTGAGATTCCCAGATGTGTTGGAGGATTGATAGGACTTTGAGTGCTCTTAGCATGAAATTTTCGCATTCTCTTAGCTTTGTTGGAATGTCTGAGAATCGACGCGAAATGTATGCGTCGGACGTAGAGCCTAGGGGAATTTGTTTCACCCTATTGGAAAAACGTACAAGAAACAAACCTGCTGCTTGTACAGTTCTGGTCTGACACCAGTATAATTTCTTGTTATTATGTATGCAGCTAGTTTGGTTCGGCTTTCTGCATAACTGGAGATACCGGCACCGCTATGGCTCCGGGTCTGTCTATACTGGCAGCCAGTTTGCTTGCCGATATGATTCGGTGTGCTGGTATGATTTTGCGGCCGATGACGTAGGCGACCGCCATCTTTCCAACAAAAAACGCTTATTAGCCGATTCACACGACGGACTGATCCGCGGACGGATTGATCACGTGACGACATATCCGCGGTTCGTCCGTCTCGCAAGCGCATCCACACGAGGGAGACGACGAGCAGACGGCAGTGAGGACGGACCGAACCTGTTCGCACCCCACAGTGCCGCAAAACTCCAACATCGCACAGTAGCACCGTTGTCCAAGAGAGAAACCGACGGTTGCTACCGCGATAAAGAATCGTACGCCACTGCTACGTACAGATCGAGAACAAAACACCGGGACAGGCTTCGCGCGAAGCGCCACTAACTTTACTAACCCAAAGCATGACAGTGACACAGGCATGATCCTGCCCGAGAAAGCTTCGGCGTAGACGCGACGAACTTCTCGGCTCGCGGAGGGGCGTTTGGAGATGCCTTCACACACTCCGCGCTCGTGAACAACACTCAAAGCACACCACATCCACAAGAGAGGGCTCGCTCGGTGAAATCCTGATTGGACGTGCAAGAATTATCGCGGCGTGCTAGACGAGTTTTGACGGGAGCTTCTTGACACGGACCCGGAGGAGCACCGGAACCTGCGTCGCGTCAGCCGGACAAAGTTTCTGGAGTTTCTCTCACGCGTGGAACCAAGAATCGTACGACAAAATGAACCAACAAACGCACAAAACGCAACGACGCGCCATTTTTGTTTTGAACGACCAGAAGCAAAATACCAAGAAAACCATGTACCGTTGCCAGACTAAATGCCTTCCAAGTCAGTCTGCCGCCAAACGTCCGCGAGTGAAAAAGGCGCTCGACTTTATCAGTCCGCGCCTCCGCGGAGGAGGCGCGGATCGCAGGAATCGGTGACGTGCCGGTCACGTGGTACACGGTCCGCGGACGAAAATCGCGATTTGGTCCGTCGTGTGAATCGGCTATAAACCACACCGCCACCGTTATATCCAAGTCATACATGCAGAGAGACGACCGCCATCTTCCAACTAAACGT